TCTCATCTTTTTCCTCTTAAAAGTTGTCTTGATTAATGATTCTGATATTGATGATGATGTTTTGTTTTTGTTTTTAATGATCAGAATCTTATAGTTGAAATTAAGAATGCTCAACCTGATATGACTTCATTTGACAGTAGTTGAAGAGTGCGTGGGGCCTCAAAAGAGTGACATGGTATTTGGATTTGGAGGTGGTGCTACTCCCTGACACTTCAACAGGGCTGTTGTTACTAAGACATCTGACAGTACTCGATTGAAGCTTGTGCTGGAAGAAAATGCAGCTCTCAAGGAAGGAATGAAACATATGGGTGTTGAGCTTACCGAGCTGAAGCAAATGTTTCGAAGCTTGATGAGGGAAAGAGCTCCATCTCCCAACTCTTCACCTCATAATGATTGACACCAATAGGTACTGATAAGCATCTATTTTATTTTTATTTTTTATTTTATTTTCAATTGAATTCTATATTCTATTATGAAAATAAGTGAATGAGAGTATATAGAACTATATTTAAACTATGATGCATTCAAGTTATTTCAATTTATTTCTTATAGTAGAAGGATCCTACCCATTTCTGGTCTCCTCTGTTTCTCTTATTGCAGAAGGATCCAACCTTGTCATTTGTTGCATTACGCAAAAGAATCCAGCCCTTGTTGCTTTGATTTCATTTATTGCTTTGTTTTTTTTACTTCTCTGTTGTTTTGTGGACATTCACGGCTTGTGATGCCACTTTTTGTTTTCTATGGGCTGCATGTTTCACATGTTAACGACCATATTTTATAAGCTTTCTGTTTGGGAACGGTTTTGAGGCTCTACAGGTTTTTGGTGCTGGACCCTGAATCTCTTTTGCCTATGTATAGGAGGAAGCTAGATCAATCAAAGGATGGTAGACAAACCATATTTATCTCAGATTCTGTCTCTCATGTGAGAATTGTAGTTTTAGATAGGGGTTACTTAAGCCTCATTTTGTAGATTGACAAAGACTGTTTCTAAACTATCTTTGCTCATAGAAACTGGATAGATTTGAGAGGTCAGATATGGCGTTTCAACCAGCTTAATAGTATTTTGAGTTGATCAAGTGATCGTGTAACTAAACATCAACAATGCCTTCATATATATTAGTTGATTAGCGACACCAGTTGTATGATGAATGAAATGTCTTTCTTGTGCATTAGTTCTTGAAATGATTATTATCATTATTATATTTCTAAAAATGTGTAATTAGGATATATAAATATGTTACGATGGAGGGATTCATCATTGAAAATCATCAACGAAGGGTGTGACTTGCTAGTGTGAGTTTCATTGGTGATGTTATAAACGACGTGTGGAGATTCTGTCGTTGATATTATCGACGGATCAGGATCCATCGTTGATGATATCAACAACAGATTGGAACTTCGTCGTTGATAATTTATTGACGACGGTATGAAATCCATCGTTAATAATTATCATTGACAGATCCTCAATTCCATTGATGGTAATATTAACCACGCACCCATACCACGTCGAAAATATTACCGTCGTTGATCACTATCAACCACAGATATTTGCTTAAAAATGACGGATTGTCCGTTGTTAATAAGTCAATTTCCTGTAGTGATATTGCCGGACACATCTATCAGGGAGGTGCCACTCGACAATGTTATGGCAAATCATAGGCAACTTGCACGACTAAAGTCGACTCTGCTTAAGTTTCAAATAATAAATTGAGATCCATCCAAATAATTTCAACAATTAAAATGGTATTCATATTCATACAAATAAATTAATGGCCAAGACAAATAATTTCAACAAATAAAATGGTATTCATATTCATACAAATAAATTAATGCTCATACAAACAATTTCAACAAAATAAAATAAAATTCATACCATACAAATAAAATTAATATTCATAAACTAGAATTTTACCTTGTTGAACTCTATACTATCAAGATGTTGGCGGTACCCGACTAGGGAGTGTCTCGTGGTAGCTCCAATCCATCTAGCACCATAAGTCGTTTGTCTTAGTGGCTCTTCGAGACCCCAACTGTCGGCAGGGCAGATTGGAGCAAACGTTGGAAGGTGCTCCCAAACCCATAGTCGGAGGATGAACACGGCACCACCCGTTGGGTCCGTACACTTGCAGAGCTCCGCATATATCATCGCCAAATAAGCAGCTCCCCAACTTTTCTCCCAATCTCCTAAAAGTACTCGGAGCCACATACAATGCATATTTCCACCAGATTTTTTAGGAAACAAAAATTCTCCAACCAAACAAATCCAGTATATGCGAGCATACCTCTCTATTCTGAGCATCCGTGGCATCCTCGTGCAACGAACCAGCGTTCCTCACTATCCAATGGATCGATAGCATAGACTTGTGTAGAGGTGGTACATGACGGCCTTGTGGTGCTTCCTTGGGGATGTTGATACCTAAATGGTCGCTTATGAATTGGCCCCAACCATTCAATGGTTTCAGTGAACACTCTATTATGGCATCACCATTGATTGGAAGCTCTATCAGCATGGCCACGTCCTTCAACGTAATCGTCATCTCTCCCTCCAGATGGTGAAATGTGTGCGTTTCTTTCATCTACCTTTCTACCGTTGCCGTAAAAAGGTTGTTGTCCATCTTTATCCCCAGAAAGATTCACACCCTCAACAATCCCGCTCTTTCAATGAAGGGCTCATCCGAACATCCCATTTAGGCAAACGAGATAGCGCCCGATGGGTGATTACAACAAGTTGTTCCTGTAAAAACCTTAATTATTTTTTAAAAAAAATTGAAAGAATAATACCGCATTTAAAAAAGGAAAAGGTACATGAGGAAATGCCTACCGGGTCCGCCACCCAAATACTTTCAGACCGATGGTAAGGTTGCTCATCCAACAAATCGGTTTCTCGCGGCCACCCTTGAATGTATAATCTAGGATCGTAAATATTCGGGTCCATCTCGTCAATTTTGAGGGATAAAGTTACCAAACTAGGAAAAAAAATATTGTGTGGAAGATCGGGTTTAGTCGCAACCATATAGTATACTTTTTTCTTCAAAAGTGGTGGAAGGAAGGGAGGAAGAAAAGTGGAGTGGTGTGGGTTTTGGTGGAATGAGGAGGGGGGGGGGGGGGGTATTTATAGGTTCCGTGGGAGGTAGTGGATCAAGGGTAGGAAACTCGAAGCAGTGGATCGAGTCCTCTGCCATCCATCCGCGTCACATGTGCATCGAGGTTGTGTCAATTGGACGACGTAGGATGCGTTTATGGCACTCGATCCGCGTCACCCCTAGTTCGCGGCAGAGGGAATCAAATGGACTGGATCGCTTCTTGAACACTCGATCTAGGGTGGAGCGCGTCCTACGTCATCGATCCATGTCAACTAGATCGAGTCCTGACGCGTCGATTCGCTTTGATAGAGTTTCTCACACTCGATCTGCGTCGTCGGGTCTCAGCCAATTGTGGCCCTTTTACTCGATGCATATGGATCAATGATGTGGCAGTCGATCCCACACTTGTTCGAGTCTCATAAACTCAAAGTCTGTCAAATTTTGACATTTAAAAAAATATTTTTTAAAGTTTTATATTGTAGATTTTTTTTAATTACTATTGTATTTCAAGGAAAAATCCGCCACGTCACCATTATGCAGTGGGAAATCCCAGAAAATAGAATGAGGAAGGAACTAAAACGTCGTGGCTGAAACGGTACCGCTCAGAAGGTTATGCTTCCTCGCTACTATGGGGCATGGTAAAGGAAACCGTACCGGAAGTCATACCGGACTCGTCTGTGGTATGCTATTTCGTGGTATGACCGTTGTTCAACCGTTGTGTACCGATAAAATGTTATTTTTTGTAATTAAAAATATATATTTTTGTTAAAAAACCGGACCGACAGATTCAGCATACCGTTTCGAAGTAATACCAGAAGAAAACCAGAATATACCGGGCAACAAACCTACATATAACAATCTCTACAACTGCTCTATCACAGATAACTAGAAACTAGAGCAACCCTTATACTAGAAAACCAGGAAATGCCCATCTATCAATGAGTGAAATTATGCAAAATCTTGCCAACCATTCCTAAAGACCTAAACCAGACCCCAAATACATCCCTCACTAGACCCACCGACCAGCTCAGCCCACTTAGGACCTTCAAAATTATAGAGTTCGTCAAACCCTCCCCGCAATTTGTGACGAACCTCGAAGGAATCAACTGCGAAACGAAGCATGCATGTTGAAAATGAAAGATTGAAAACCCAAAAGCCAGCTTCCAGTTTTGGCAAGTGGGTAAGAAATGACGAGGGATAGATTTGTGCTTACGAGCTTCTTGTTGCGAACGGTTTCTTGGAGAATGATTTTGAAGAAACGAGCTTCTTGTCTTCTTGAGCAGCAGGGGAGGGCACTCGAGCAGGCGGCGTGGCTGAGGAGGAGAGAAGAGGAGCGGCGGAGCGTGCGGAGCGGATCAGGGATCAACGCCAACCGCCAGGGAGTGGAGCAAGGAGCGGTAGAGCAACGGTCGCGGGTTTCCTCTTTGCTTTCTCCGGTCGCGCGTCGCGGGTCGAGGGTCGAAGGTTACAGTCGCCAGAGGAGAAGAGAAGGACGGCAGGCGAGGCTGGAAAAAGAAAACGACGAAAGGAAAGGGCTCCCAGATGGTCAGATTAGGGTTTTTGCATTTTTCAGTTTTTGGCCAATGGCCGATTTGTTTTTTTTTATTTTAAGTTAGAGAACGGTGACGTTTCCTTCCAGTGACCCTACCGCCGGTTAGGCCACAGTCGGGCGCTATTTTCGTTTGTACCTGTTAAGCCAAAAAACCGGCCGGACTATATTATGATGCCAACCAGCCTACCGTATCGTGCTTTGTCCGGTTTCCGGTTGAACCGGCCGGTACGATCGGTTTCCTGATCCATGATATGGGGTCCTTCCGCCGCTCGTTTCTTGTCGTTGTTTTTGGCTTCTTATTTATCTGCCTTCAAAATTTTCGGAAAGCCAAAAAAGAAAAATATTCGCAGAGGGAGAATTTAGAAATGAAGCCATTGGAGGTGCTTCGTCCTCCACTTCTCTCCACAACTTCCACTACCTTCCGAAGCCGCTCTCCGGCGAATGTCTTCCTTCGTAGTTCCCGATTCCGCCCATCGTGCTGCTCCATTCCACCGGAGACAGTTCGGTATCTTTCTCCCCTAATTTTTTTGTTAGCGGTATCGATTCCTGTATCACACTTTGCAATGAACAAGGAACAATTTGTTCTACTCCAGGTAAATGTGGATGCGCTGCGATCTGAGTACAAGCCTGGATTAGTGGACGATTTGTTTCTGGATGTGTTCAGAAGCAAAATGGCGAAGGTGAGCACACTGAACTTAGGTAAAAAAAAACCAGTCAATTGAAATGAATTGGGGCCTTTTTTGACTGGTTACTGAAACAGGAGGTAGGATGGGACTCGGAGAAGCCTGGATATGAGGGTCTGATTGAAGTTGCCAATCGTCTAATGTTGACGGGCAGAAGCAGCTCTTATACTAGAGATGCAGCTGTACGTTTGATTTTTTGGTTGCAGTGTGGAATTAAGCTAGGTAGAGAGATGATGGGATGCCCATTGAAGCTCTGTTGACTGTTGTGGAACTTCTATTTTTGGTTTGACAGGTTAGGATACTGGTGTCTCTGTTTCCTCCATTTTTGTTGGAGCTCTACAAATTACTCATCTCACCTTTAGCAGGAGGCAAAGTTGCTGCCATTATGGTTGGTGAGTGTTGGGCCTACTTTGAATTCGACAGTCACTTCCCTTCTAAAAATTGACAATACTTGTGGCCTTCTGAAGCAAGGGTGACACAGGTAACATGCCAGTGGTTGATGGGGAAATGCACAGTGAATTCAGTTGATATCCCTGGTGGGAAATCCTGGGAGAGTGGGGTAATTAAGCTTTAAGCACCCGAAACTCCATTTTGCGTTCTAAATCTTCTGTCTTGAATCCTACATTTGCACTTGTCTCTTTGCTATATAGGTTTTGGTGGAAAGATGCAAGTATTTGGAAGAAAGCAAGTGTATTGGCATTTGTATCAATACCTGCAAGCTTCCAACTCAGGTATATGTCCCGCTGAGCTTCCATCTCCATGGCTGTTCTTTGCAGCTTCAGCTTGTTTACTTCTGTGATCGTGTCATTTTTGTCTAGACTTTCTTCAACAACTACATGGGAGTCCCTTTACTGATGGAGCCAAACTTCACTGATTATAGCTGTCAGGTAATCCATCTCTTGTGATATTTCATGCCGAGAACACATTATGGTTTGCTTTCCAGTCATGAACTTTGGAGTCCAAGAAAGGGAAAGTTCACTCTTTTCTCGTTCCCAATTCTGATTTTGTGTTATATATAGTTCAAGTTTGGTGTCCCGGCGCCGTTGCCAGAAGATGATAGTGCTCTGAAGGAGCCGTGCCTAGAGATATGCCCTGCTGCAAGTAGTAGAAGAAGGCAAGTTTCTCAGGGGGATTACACAGGGCAATGCCCCAAGGCGTAGCGTATAATATTTCTCTCACTGCTACTTCCATTTCGCACTGTGGGAGGTGTGTGGAATAGAGCACTGCTGATGATATATTTGTCGGGCTTTCAGATGTGTTTTGGTCTGGAACACAATGCCCTCGAGCCTGAACCATTTACATAGCCCAAAGAGAATGCAGGGTTGTAGTGGTGCGTTTATCTTAACTAGGTCGAAAGGACTTGCTCCACAGAATGTTTAATTTTTATTTCGTTAAAAATTTTATCTTCGTAAATTCGGAGTAAAGTGCTAAACAAAAAGAAACTCACACAATACAATTTTCAATTGTATAAATAACCCAAGGTCAGTTCAAGAAAGTCTCAACCACAAATAACACTATGTTGAATTTAGTGAGTCAAGCTCTCACTAAAATACTTACACTTCTAAACTATAAACCTATGAGATTAAATTGGACTCGATAGCCAATTAGACCTCATATTTGAAAATAGGACTCCATGCATTAACAAAATATTTATGTGAATAGTTGAAAACTCACAAATATTGTCAATTGATAAGGATTCAAAAATTGAAACTGGATTGTCGAAAAACACTTGTTTTATTAAATAGAGTGACCAAATTTGATATTAACATTTTCTAGTGAATAAACATGACACAATTTAACAATCACAGTGATCAAATGTGGCATTAACTCGATAAAAAAAATGAAAAAAGAAAATGAGATAAATATGTGTCCACTTGCAAATGAAAGAAAATAATAAAAGAAATAAAAATTATGCAAAGATATGTGGACTTAGTGTAATCCCACTAAAATTGACGAAATTTTAAAAATGATTTTAATGAATAATGAATGCTAAAACTATAGCGCAATATATTAAAGTGTAAAAACCAAGTGTGAACACAAGCATACAACGTACGCCTGATGTACGCTAGCCTTTGCCATATATATATATATATATATATATATATATATATAGTCGCGTCTTAGGTGCACACATTTTTTCGGGTGCATTCAGTGCACTTGCTTCATAACCGACATTTTAAACATGCGATTTATGTCAAAATGATGTTAATCATCACTTATGATGTGATGAACGATAACACACATGAATTTGCACAAAAATCATTGAAGATTTACTTTAATTTGAGGGATTTAGAGTTTAGATATTTATGGTTAGGGTTAGGGTTAGAGTTTACAATTTGGGGTTTAGGGATAAAACTCAAAATTGGAGGTCTAGAGCTTAGGGTAATCCGCTAATTAGTTGTTATTCATCATATTACACTAATTCTACAAATTAAAATTCAAAATCCGACACCTTAAAACTAGTTTTTGAGTTGGGTGCATTGAACGCACTAAGTAGTCACCATATAAGTTTTACTTTATTACCAAATTTAAGTTTTATTTAAAATAACACATTTTGTGCTCATTCTCAGCTTTCGGTAAAGTTTACTAATCTACAAATTAATAAAATCTAAAATTCAACTCACATACAAAAAATTCATTGGAAAAAAATATTTTGTAATTAACAGTAGAAGTATACTTTCACACATTGTCTAGTGTGCGCTGTTTAGCAGCTTGATGATTCGATTTATATTGTATATAGATTTTCAAAAAAAAAAAAAAAAACAAAGAAAGAAAGATTTATATTGTATATACATACATACATACATATCAGAGGCATAAAGCATCGAGTGTCCAATGTATACAAGCCATTACCATAAATCTCTCCGTCCGTTGCCACTCAACCGAGATGAGGTGAACACTAACACACTTGGATTTTAACGAGTTCTGGGTGGTGCGGCAACAGATCGAAACGTCCCGACTTGTATTTCCATATCTTTCCCCTTTCTGTTTAACCACTTACCAGCTGTGCGGCGATACAAAGATTCCGCCACATCTGCGGAGCGCTGAATGCTGCCTCTTCTATATAAGCTACTTCTTCTATGTCGATCCATATATCAATCAACATATTGATACATTTCCAAATAACAAGGTGGCCGGCCTCGCCGATGCAAGCTGCGGCTGTAATAATAATAGTGATGGCGGCGACTTTTCTGAGCGATTCCGGGAGAGCGGCCCAGTATTGCGGTTGCGGGCTAGCAGACGATCAGCAGAACTTCCCCGTTTACGCACACGCTCTTCTTGAAGATCTAGTGACGAGTGGGCCTTTCCAAAAGAGAGACCCAGCCTCCGGCTACATCAACTACTTCACAAACAATCCAGCATTCGCAGGCAAGGGCGCCGCTCACGGCTCCGCCATCTGCGCTCGCCGCCTGACTGTGAGTGAGTGCCATACATGTATTTCTGATGCGCGAGAGTATTTGCGGCCGTGCGAAACCTATGTTTGCGGAGGGGCTGCTTATGCTAATAAGTGCAGCGTTGAGTTCTGGCAAATAATCGAATGACGCGTATTAGATCGAGTACGGATTAAGTATGGATATACCGTCTATTCTAGAGTTTTCTCCGTAGCGTGCTCTAGTTATGTTTCTTATCAAAGTTGTAGATGTTTCGTATCTTCCCTAAATTGTATTAGAGTGAAGTCTGTGTATGTAATTTGTTGAAAATGGATAGCTTTTCGAAATCTATAAGTCTCAAGAGGAAAAACTATCATATTAGTGATTTTACATTTATCAAAGATGTATAAGGATAGATGCCTCTCATTTAGGGGGCTTGGTTCTTGGGGTGACTCACTTTTGCGAGAGGGTGGGTGAATATGCTTGAGACTAATACTATTTTTTTTTGAAGAAATCCCGAGATTATTCACTTATTAAGTATTATGAATTAATTATTTTGTATCCTTAACATAGACGAGATAATTAAGTCAAAGAAATATTCGAGAGATAATTCAGCATGAATTATCTTATTCGTGGTGTCCCAGCTCTTATAAATAGTTGTCTCCTAAGCCCCTCTAGATACAACATCAAATAGCAAAAACACAAGCGAGAGAGTATTCATATAGCTCCGAGTTTTGCATAAAACTGACGAGCATCCTACACGAGCTGTTTTATCCTGGAGGCGACCGGTTGATAGTCTGTCGTGCGCAACGAAAGCAGTGTCGCGAACGTCTTAAAGAGCGCAACCTAGCTGGCGACTCAGCTCCAGGTTTGGGAACCCTTAGTTTTCATTGCTACTTTACTAACAATTTTAAGACATTGTGCTGCAGCTATGGCGACTGAATAGAACACGACTGGATCTGGCATTGTCGATATCAATCGACCCTTCCACTTCCTTGGAGTCCACTTACGTCACTGTAGACAGAAGATGCTCTTCTACCTAACGACCAAGAAGCTGAAGTACTGTCTCACCAACATGCCGACGGAGCTGACCAAAGAGTCGACTAATGCGGAGAGGATTGTTGCCGCAAAGCTGAAAGAGGATGACTTCCTTTACGACTACTACGCGAACTAGAACAACACCGCGATGATGGTTCGGGATGCTCTCCAGAAGAAGTAGGACACAAAGGAGATTTGATCCCAGAAGTATGTCGTCAGCCTATACCTATGCTGCCAGATGGTGGACGACAAGTTAGTCGAGATTCAATCACATGAACTTCAGAAAATAGCTCATGAGATCGTCTCTGAAAGTATGCCTCTGGACGATCAGTTTCAAATTTCTTGCATAATTGATAAGCTTCCCCATTCCTGGAAATATTTTAAGAATATACTTAGACATAAAACTAAAGAATTTTCACTGGAAAGTTTGATTATTCGCCTAAGTATAGAGAACGAATCTCACAAACAAGATATGAAAATGAGGTGATGGTCGTCATTTGTCAATACTAGACGACCAATCCCTAGATCTCTGAAACCAAACCATAAGGGTTTCAAGAGTTAGAATAATAAGGTTCGTCCCAATCAGAGTGGTGCCCCTCGGGGCTACCAAAGAGCGAAGGCCCAACCCTCTAAGAGTGAACTCCCGTTTCTCTACTATATTTGTGGGAAACCAGGTCATATGGCACGAAAGTGCAGGAACAAGCTAGGCTAACACTAGTTTTGGTGTTAACTTGACAAAAGAGGACTCGGTGGCCATGATCACGGACATGATAACTAAAGTCAACCTCACTAATGACTTAGAAGGATGGTGGTTGGATACATAATAATGAGAGTTTTGTGGGATATGGATATGCTTGTCATGAAATGTTTAAGTTGAATGCTTTCTTGAACAACGTGGTACACCAAATGGATGTTAAAATTACCTTACTGAATGGTGATTTAGACGAAGAACTTTATATGGAACAACCTGAAGGGTTTGTTTTTCCTGAACATGTCTCGAAAGTCTGTAAATTAGACAAATCATTGTATGGTTTGAAAGAGACTCCAAAACCGTGGCATGAGAAGTTTGATAATCTGGTTATGGTCGTACTCTAGACCGTGTGGGGCTCGTAAAATCAACTTCCAAATCATCCAAATGCACTCGAAATTGCCCTAAGTCCGTAATTATGATTCTTAGTGTATTTTTGGTCTAAACCAAGCATAAAACTGGCAAAGCATATAAATCGTGTTGGAATGACAACCCATAGAGTGTCAAATGGGGAGTAAAAATATCTTTAATTTAGATGCGTCAGAGGCTAAATGCTATGGGTGGAAAGAAAAGAGATTTGGTTATGTAACTATACAAATAGATGGCTTATCTATAAATAATAATATAAGAAAATTGAACCCAATTTACGTTTCTTGCTTTGTTATTCAATTATTAATTTAGTAGTAATTTGGGAAAGTTCTCGCCATATATTTAGGAGATCCTTTACTTGAGAGTGTCGAGCGACATATCTAAAGTCAGGAGAACAAAGACCCAATCACATAACATAGTAAAATAAAATTAACACTGAATATGAATTTAAGGTTTTAATATTGTTTATTACCATATAAATATCAAAACATTATTTAAACTATTAATTTATTGCTTAATTAATAACTATTATAAATTAATAAATTTTTTTATCCGGACTGTATTAATTTATAGAGTTTTACAATTTTTTTTAAAATCAGACATGATGCTAAACCAAAAAACTTAATGATATATAGTTCTTGGTTAACAATTATAGTTAATAGAATCATTCATACACTATAACATTCAAGACATATAATACATAATTTAGAGCTGAATTTATCACAAACAAGAAAGAAATTAAAATTCTAAGAAATCCTTCAAACCATGTCACAATAGAAATCAATTTTTTATCACAAACAAGAAAGAAATTAAAATTCTAAGAAATCCTTCAAACCATGTCACAATAGAAATCAATTTTTTTAATTAAGCTCAAGTTATTATTTGGGGTGACAATCCGTAGTATTTGAAGCAAAAATAAAACCAACAAGGTGGCTGCGATTTGAAGAAAATGAAGCAACAATAAAATTAGCAATTCAGGTAGGATGGTCTTAATTTGTATAGAAGCATTTTTTTTGTTGTTAAAATAATGAATCGGTGGACTAATCAAATTAAACCAGGGTGGGTTCATCTAGTTTCATGTTAAACCATTAAAATTGTTTGGTCAATCCTTAAACCGTCCAAAAAAATTAATAGAACCACAATTATAATTGGTTTGGTAGTTCTACTAGTCCAGCTGTGAGATACGGTTGGATTCATATAAAAATGAATATTACTGTAGATACATAGATACATATCAGTGTCTCAAAGCATTGAGTGTCAATGCATAAAAGCCAACTACCATAAATCTTTCCGTCGCCGCACAACCAAGACGAGGTGAAAAAGACGCACTTCGATTTTAAAGAGTTGTGGGTTGTGCGGCAAACAGAAACGTCCCGCCTTGTATTTCCATATACTTCCCTTTCTGTTTAACCCCTCGTCGGCTATGCGGCAAAACAAAGATTCCGCCATATCTGCGGAGTGCCGAATGCTGCCTCTTCTATATGTCGCTCGACTATATAAGCTACTTCTTCTACGTCGATCCATATATCCCACCAACATGAATACGTTTAAAAATAACAAGACATCGTCGATGCAAGCTGCGACTATAATAATAGTGATAGCGGGGGCGTATCTGAGCAATTATGTGAGAGCCGCCGAGTATTGCGGTTGCGGGCGGGCAAATGATCAGCAGAAGTTCCCCGTTTATGCGCACGGTCTTCTTGAGGATTTAGTGGCAGGTATGCCTTTCCAGGGGAGAGACCCAGCCTCAGGATACATGAACTACATCACAACAAATCCAAGACCAGGAAGCAAGGGAGCCGTTTACGGCTCCGCCATCTGTACTCGCCGCCTCACTATGGCTGAGTGCGAAACTTGTCTTTCTGGTGTGCGAGAGTGCTTGAGGCCATGCAAAACCTACTCTTGCGGAGGGGCTAAGATTGCTAATAGGTGCAGCCTTGACTTCTGGCAAATGGAATGACACGTATTAGAGTATCGATAAAGTACGGGTATTATTATGTAAACTGTTCTATAGTTCTATCTGTACTTGAATTACGTTCCTTATCAGAATTTTGTAGGGCTGGAAAAATAGAACAGACTGTTAGAAAAACCGTGGTCCAAACCGTACCGCACAGTTTGGTCCGGACCGTAGATCGTTAATTATGGTCTGGTCTGGTCCATGAAAAGTATTATTTTATGTTTTGATCTCTTGGTCTGGTCTGGTGTAGACCGTGGTTTATCGGACCAAACCGTGGACCCAAGCGACTTGTCAATACGTGTTAACAACCCTTTCGACCATTCTCCTAACTCCCACAACGACACCCAAGTCTCAACCTTAGTTTTGTGAATCTCGTCCCTCATTCATTCACAACCACATTTAACCTGAGAGTAGAGATCATAATTGTGTCTCCATACGAAATTATGTTAATGTTTATACGTTATGGTGCCAGTTGAGATGCTTTTACTTTGTATCTTTATTATGTACTAAGATTTAGGGTATCAAAATTATTCATGCATGTTAGGATTAATGTTTTGAGGCAAATAACAATTATTTTTCTTGGTTATTTGTTCAATGTTTTGTGTGGTTGACTAAACAAATTATTTATTTTTTGTTGAGTGTGGTCTATCTGGACCAGACCAGACCATACCAGACCGCATAGGTGTGGTCTGGACCGAACCGTATAGTCTGTGGTCTGGTTTGTGGTCTATACTTTAGCCTCTCGGTATGGCATAGACCGTATATATGATCTGGTCAGGACCAGACCACACCGTTTCCCTGCCTGAAATTTTGGGATGTTTGCTTGGTATCTTCCCTATAAGAGTGAAGTCTTTCTTTGTAGTCTATTGAAACTCGATATGATTTTAACAATAAAACATACCAATTTCAATGGGAGAAAAAACATTAATGAAATATGACTTTATAAGCAATTACCTAATATTACTAGCGCTCTACTCATCTTTTAATAACACAACAATTAAACATTATTTCACTTCCATTCTTATTATGGGTTAGTTTGGCCCTGTTGTAGATTTTGCAGAAGCAGCTTCTGGCTAGAGATTTTGGAGAAGTACTTTTCAAAAAAAAAAGTAGCTGAGTATTTGACAGAAAAACTATTAGAAGTGCCTGAAACTGGTAGACTCATTTGGCAGTCCTGGACGAGTCATGTATGGAGAGAACGGTGTCGAAGAATGTATGGAGGTGATGCTAGGGAGTTTAATGAACTGTTGTTATTGATTAAAACTGAAATTGAATGTGTTCTGAGTAGTGAAAGGGTCAGTCAATTCTGGAATGTTTAGCTAAAATACTGTCTCAGAGGATAGGTTCCATTTATCTGTTCCCCATATTTGGTTAATTCCCTAGCTAGCAAGGGTGTTGCTAGCAACACTTTTTTGATGAATAAGATCCCAATGATTCATTAAAAAGAACTATTAGAAGTGCGTTTTAGTATGAGAGATTATGTAAAATGACTATAAAGGACTTATAATATAAACTATGAATAAATTTTTTAAACAATGCCTACATATGTTTGGTCCGTTTTTAGAAGTGCTTTTCGGCTTCAAAAATTGAAGCACCGAAAAACACCTCTAAAAGCTCAGCTTTTGAAAAACCGAAAAACACTTTTGTATAACATAAATGATCTCCGAGAACAAAGATGAAATGAGGGAAGTAGCTAGATTACCACTATGTTTGGTAAGTACGGGTGCAAATTTGAGATGTATAACTTGAAGTGTGAATTTTAAGGAGTATAAGTTAAGGGGTAAATTGCTATTTAAAAATGAAGGGTATGTAGCAAATGTAGTATAAAATATGTTAATAAAAAAAATATAATTATTTAATATTTTACTTTCTCTTATATGTTCCTCTTTCACGTTAATTGACAAATTTCCATCTTCCACTCCCACTCACTATTTTCATTCCTTCTCATCCCTCCTCTTTCCAATCCTTCCCAAATACCAGCAACGTGCGCGCCTTATAATCTCACTCTATTCCATTCAGAAAGGATGAATTTTACAATGCTATATAGTATTGGTGCTATAGGTTTTTGTCTTTATAGTACAACTTGAAATTGTACATTTAATGTTATGGTACAACTTTAGATTATACTTATACTGTTTGTACAAATTCTTTTATGGTACAACTTGAACTTGTACCTTTAAGTGATGGAACAACTTCAAGTTGTAAAGTTATACCATAACATAATGGTACAAATTCTTTTATGGTACAATCTAAACTTATACATTTCATGTTATGGTACAACTTTAAGTTGTACATTACAGCACCAATACTATATAGCATAGTAGAAATGTTCTTCAGAAAGCTACTTGTTGTTCGGATCTAAATTAGGGGTGGAGTCATTGAGGTAACGCATGTAAATGGAGATTGGTGACTCTGCGACCGCGTGGACTGCCGGAAGTGGCGGTAACGGAGACATAGGAATGGGAGGACGGAGTAGACAGAGGGATTAATTGAAGGGCTAGGGAACAATCGTCAAGATTAAACAATGTAGAACCAAATATCTTCTAGATCCCAGGCAACCCGGCTTGCAGTGTCAGGTTTTTCTGCTACTTTGTCGCCGACAAATTCTTACTCCATTTATTCTCTTGCGTAGGCTTCTGAAGAACCGAAGTCTTTTTACTATTGTTCTTGGTCTTGATTTGCCCGTTGCAGGAGATTTTTGAGGAACCCTCAACAGGAAAATCGTGTCGAAGATCTTCTTCCTATGTTTCTTCTCCTTTGCTGTTGCTTGAACTGCAAAAAAGATGAGGTTTAGGAACGATAAATGTCGTCCTCGAAAATAGGGTCAATCTTCCCAATAGTTTTCAGGTAGAAGGTTGCTTCCTCTATGTGAAGGCAAAGAACATATAGAAGATAGTTTTTTTTTTGGCTTATAAGCAACCATGTCTATATAATAATCAAGTTTTGCTTACCAAAGTGGTATTGTTAAAAATAAGTAAGCAATCAATTTCATTCAAAGTGAAATGACTTTTCACTATTCTTTTATGAGAATAGAGCAGCCTGCACCTCTCAATGATTACCCCATCTGCTAACCCTTTTCGTCTTCGTTTAGTAGCTAACTCAAGATGACCGTTATGTACAAGCCGAAAAAAGGGTATCCATAGATACCAACCCAACTACCACTACTAGGGGATTCCTTCTACTTTTATATTATTTCTCTTCGATTCAAACGTCACAACTAAGAGAAAAGAAAAAAATTATTCTTATGTAATTTTATTTTCTTTCCCTGTCTGTATTTTTTTGTCCTATTTATAAGTTGTACTTGGATTGAGAAGAGAGAGTAAGAGCAAAATGAATTTTTATTTTTTCTAGTTCTTCTAATCGACTTTTATCTTCTTCTTTCTAACTTTGATAGCAAAAATTTTGCACAAATGGAACAAAGTTCATTATGATCTAAAAGATGAGATTCATTTTCAATATATTTCGAGAACAAAAATTTCATACCACTCTTCACCACCCTAGTACCACCTCGTATCACCTTTTTTTAACTCGAATTAAAAAAAAAATCCCAGAAGGAAAGAGTTCGTCGTAATATATTGGATCTACAAATTTCTGGGGAAAGAAAAGCAGGACCAAATATATCACGCTATACACCCATGGTACCACCTTCGTTTTTAACTTGAATTTTAAAAAAATTTACCTCGAGGAAAGAATTCATTGTGATTTATTAGATCTACAAATTTATGGGGAATATAATTTTAGGACCAAATATAGCATCATGTACTACCCTGGTACAAGGTGGTAACTAGTGGTAGCGGATGATGAAATGTGGTAAATGACAGTCAATACATTCCTAATATTATGTATACAACTGTAGACACCATATTTTGTCCGGGTCTTAAACATATAATCACATTTGAATCGTGAAGACTAGCTGAAGTCCAAGTTTTGTAAGAGATGAAGCAATTGAGTTCAACGACGAGGAAAAGCATGAGAAAGTATCATTGAAGAGTTTGAAGTTTCAAGCACATTTGTCACTACAAAAGACATAATTCAACTACACAACTGCAATCTAATACAATCGTTTGCTTGTTGGATTTGAAAATGAGGGTTTTAGGGCTTGTTTGTTTGATTGATTTGGTGATGAATTTGGTTTCATGAAGGACTTTATCCAAAACTTATTGTTTGCTTCAAGTACTTTGGCCTCGTTTGTTTAATGGATTTCATCATGGATTTGATACATAAAAACCAATCATCATGGACGTTATACACAATCCATAATTTGCTTGATGTATTTAGAAGGAATAAATCCGTGGGACCCACGGGTTTTGAGAGTGCAAATCCGTTAATCTCACGGACTTGGAAATTCCATCTCAAAGGGTGGGATTTGTGTGGGTGTCTCAAGTTCATGATGCTTTTTACTATTTTATCCTCAAATTTTTTTTTTGTTTATGCTAACTTTGTCCTCTGTCATTTATTTTTATCTCGGCTAATTATATATATGTAACAAACTTGTAGGTTGATCATGCTCCCCTCTCTCTCTCTCTCTCTCTGTATCCTTATTGTTGGGTTTCTCTTTTTCTGGTTCTAATCATCATTCCTTCCCCATCGATTGTGAGTACGAGAAGAAGAGGGGACTAGGTCGAGGCTGGTTGGGAGAAGAGAGTGAGACACGGAAGAAGGGACCGAGAAGAGGGGATATAACGTTGGGATGATGTTGTTTTGTTTCTAACAATAAATAAGGGTTAGGATAGATAAGTAAATTCATAATATAACCACAAATATAATTCAGTAAAATCCATCATGAAATCCATCAAGTAAACAATAGTTTTATCCAAAAACCAAATTTACCAATTCTATCATAAATTCTTGGTTCCCGATTTGGACCAAAACCTTTATTTATCAAATCCGTAAAGCAAACGAGCACTTAGTTACTTGCGTTTGATCTACTAGTTAAGTCATATAACAGTATTTATTAAGACTATTTGCTTTAGGTGAAGTAGCTCAATCACCTATGATATTATTTTTGTTCCCCCCTTTTGCGAAAAAACGTGGCAAATACCAAACACCATAAACACAAAGAAATTAAAGATCCATCAATCCATATAAGTCCATAACAACCAAGCTAGCAAAACAGAACCCTTCAAAATAGAGCTTAGAAAAATACTATAACAAAACCCATTCAGTAGAGTACCACAAGAAAAAAGTCAAGACTTCAAGTACTTAACTAGATCCAAGGTAGAGTTCGTCATGGAAGCATTCCAGAAGAAGCTAAGCTATTAAAGGGAAGATAATCGGGTTTGACGAAAAGCTAGCTGAGTTCGATGAGATGAAGGATCAACTAAACATGATAGTGAAAATTTGGTCGGCCAAAGGGAAAGAGGCAGTATCAAATGACGAAGAAACACATTCAAAAAATGATAATCACTTTGGTTCTCCAAAGGGTGAAGGTTCCGACGTCAAGATCCTCATTGTACCCCCAAAAGATGAACATGACAAGAACAATGTGGGACCACTAAAATACGTTAATGTGAAAAAGGAAGATAAATTGGAAAGAGCTCAGATCGAAACACTGTTAAGAGAGAAATGAGAGCCATTGAAAGAGTAGAATCCTATGGATCCACTGATGCCACACAGATGTGTATAGTGCCAGAAGTTATAATTCTCCACAAATTTAAAGTGCCAGAGTTTGAAAAGTATGACGGTACTACGTGCCCCAAAAACCATATGATCATGTATTACAACAAAATGGCTAACCACATCAGAGATAACAAGCTCATGATACACTACTTCGAGAATAGCCTAAGTGGTTCGACGCTAAGATGGTAAATGCAATTCGAAAGGTCAAAGGTGAAAAGGTGGCAAGATCTCCCTGATGCTTAACACACAACAGGCATAACCAAGATATGGCTCTCGATGAAGAAGATCTACGTAATATGGAAAAATAAGAGCAGGAATCTTTCTGTGAGTACGCACAAAGGTGGCGAGGAAAGGCCACAGATGTTTAACCCCAATTGTCCAAAAAAAAAAATGCTTTAAACCGTTTCTGAAACACAGAAACCTTCATATTAGAAAAACATGATAGGAATCACCAGAAAAAAATTTGAAAATTTGTAAGCAATTGGAAAGAGAATAGAGAAAGGGATTAAGAAAGGCATGATGGAGAATTTAGAAGTCTCAAAGATCGCTAGTCAATCTTGAAAATAAGAGGGGGATCACTCGAGTCAAGGGGACACGTCAAAAGGGAGACGATGGAATTACCAACCTTAAGGTGATCAGAGTTACCCATATGTTCAAAACACTACATCGATCATCCCACAACCAAATTTTGTCACTCATCAAGCAGTACATGCACCACCATCTGCAACCCACGAGCTAATAATCAGGACTCAAACAATAATGGGAGATACAAAAAAGACATTTGAATAGATCCTATCTCCAACACATATACAGAGCTGTTCCTCCAGTTGCTCCAAGATCACTTAATTTCCCCAATACCTTGTCGTCTAATGCAACCTTCATTCCAAAGATGGTACAAACCAGGCAAACATTGTGACGAACACTCCGGAGCGGCAGGACACTCAACCGAGCATTGCAAATGGTTAAAAAGCAAGGTCCAACAAATGGTAGAAGCCAGATGGATGGAATTTGAGGAAATACCAAGCTCTCCAGACATCAACAACAATCCTCTACCCAGTCATGACAATTAGTATGCACACCCCGAAACAATGCTCGATTCAAGAATCATGTGGATTTTAGAGAATAAATAAATATCGAGATAGTTTGCCATGTTATAGATGTACTACCTTTTGCTTTCATCACAAGAAATTAAAAGATCAATCAATTTTACACCTACTTGGGAATGCGATGTTCCACGGGATGGTTGCAACAACAACCAATCTACACTACGGTATATTCATATCACTAAAGTACACTTTCATATCACGTGGTATAATCTTATGTACATACCACGTGGTACCAAATGGTATGGACTGGTATAATTTTATTCCAAAATATTTCAACGTGGATGTCATTATGAAGAATATTATTAATCTGATTTTTCTTTGTATAATTTTTTAATTTTGACTTAAATTGAAACCGAAATAGCCCATTGGAACAAAATCTCATACCATGGCAGGCTGAAGGTGAGTTGATTTCAGATGGTTCCTCTTGTATCAAATCATCATTGGGAATATTATTTATCCTACTCGTACGAGGCAAGATATTTTATATGTCATGCAAGTGGTGAGCCTGTTCATGTCAACTTCTCGAACATATCATTGGTCTATTGTTCAGCGAATCCCATGATATCTATGAAGAACTCAAATTGTAGGCCTACTTTTCCCGACAAGAAGAAATTTGATTATTGAGGCTTATGCAGATGCTGATTATGATGATTTTCTTTATACTCGACACTCTAATTCATCTCTTGGCGGTGCAAAAAGAGAGATCAAGTATCTAAGTCAACAAAGGAGGCAAAGTAGAAATCAATAGTGGTGTCCCTTCTAATATTGTGAGGCTACGAAGTTTGTTGGCTGAGTTGGATATTCAATGTCAAGTTTAGGTTTTCTTGTATGATGAGTGCTGAAAATGCAAATGTTACTCGAATCGACAAAAACCCATACACTAAGATTGGGCTAATCATATTGAAGTGCACATACACTATGTTCGCCATACTATGGCAGAATGTGTTGTGGAACTCACACACATGACTTTTAAGGATCAAACGACTGACCTATTAACCAAGACACTTGATTCTACACAATTTAATGGTTTCTAGCACACAAATTGATATTTTGTCATCACTATCGATTTGAGTGAGGGTGCTAGAAGTACGAGTATCGAATTGTAATTAACCTTGTATCAGCTTATTAATTACTTAATGACGCGAAGTTGGGTGCTAGGGTTTCAGTCAACTATAAAATATATGGAAAATAGCCGACCTGTAAATAGTTTGTGTACGTGAAGTAAGATTGATCTCGACAATTGTATCGTGTACTAAATCTTGTGTTATTATCAGATACACTAGCATGACAAAACACAACATCAACAACACTTGGCATGCATAATGAGCTTAATGTTGAAATATCCACTTGTTCCTTCCTTACTAAATGGCAGGGATGGAGCCAACTTGTACTTAGGGGGTCCATGGCCCCTCTAAACGTTTAAAATAAGTAAAATCCTATGTAAATAACACACTAAGAGTGCGGTGGCGTGGTGGTATGAAGTCTTAGCTAATATCATAAGCCAGAAGAAGGTTTCTAGTTTGGACCCTGCCTACATATTATTTAGTGTCTCACTTTCACTTTTATGAACTATAAATTTCATTTAGTGACTATGACTTCCACGCCTAAATTCGGAATAACATCTTTAAACTTTAGAATATAAAATGTATTAGTGTTTGATGGTTATGGGACATAACTGATATTAGATGTGGCAGAGAGTTAAGTTTATTTTAGTTCATAACAATTTTTCCTGCATTCTTTAGTCTTTTTTATCGATTTCTCTACCAGTGTCTTCGTATTACTTAGAAAACATATATCATCTTCATGTATATATATGGTTAAATCTCGACTACCTTATTTTACTATTGCATCGTATTCAGAATTTTGAATTATGAAATTGGTAAATATAAGATATATGAAACATATGGTTCCTTTATCGTGATTTTAGAAGAGATAAGTCATTACATTTTTAATTTTGGCACAACTTTAAGGGCATATATTACAAAATTTGTGAACTCTTTGTATGTAATAAAGAATAACCAAGTGATATAATTATTGTTTTCATAGACAACCACAACAAGTTTTCATATTTTGAAAGAACGCAAAATATATTGGTTGTCTACAATCTTAAGTAAGTCCCTTTCAATGTTCGCACTAAATAGCCAGCAAATTGATCCGCAATTCGACTTTGCACCTTGTTCTTATTATAAGTCAAGCTAAAAATGTTAGTTCTACACTTACAGTTGCAACTGGTAGAATCCAAACTAGATTGAGAATCAAATAAGTAAAAGATATTACTGATGCACTTTTGTCTCCGCTATTAATCAAGATAATTCATCAAGAACCAAAAACCGACTAAACCGTTAACTGAAATCTGACTAAATGGTTACCCAAAAATCCACTAAACTGTTGCGGTTATAACCAAAACGAACAAAACTAAACCGATTATCAGTCTTAGGTGTGATTTTTTTCCTCCTCAGAAGTAAGCCTTGTCTTGGGACAAAGGCAAAGTGGGTTGTCTCCGCCCATTGTGTCAAATCTCCACTTTAAACGAGCAAGGCAGGAAAAAAAAGATGGTTTGTTGTTTCTTCATTACTTGAACACAAATATCAGTGGTTCCAAATCACCTTTGGCAGAGTAGCAACATCACTAAGGGATTTTTTTTACTTAGGTAGATAGTTAATAGATAGGGAAATACAAAGAGTTGAAAAGTAAATAGCGGTAATCAGCTAAGTGCTGATCCACCGATGCAAGAGCCGTTTTCGCCACACAATGGGCAAAGTAGCAACATCACTAAGGGATAGACATTGTCACAATTCATTTTCATTTTTGATTTCTATTATCAGCTCAATGACTCCAATAATATCGAGTCCAAACAATTTCATTTCATGTATGAGGGAATAGATAGGGTGATAACTAATAAAAGTATTATCACCATGCTATCCACATTTATCGCCACTAGTTGAAAATATTAATCCTACGGTTATAATTAAATGGAGGTCATTTTAGACCATTTATATAAACAAAACCCTAATCCTATTTAATTTCCAGTCTTCCACAACAACTGTGTCTCTCTCTCGCTTTCCCACCCTCTAGCCGCCTCTCTCCACCAACCCCTTCAACTATTGCTCCATTATCTCAATCCCTCTCATCCTTTCTGGTCCGACTCTACCTCCTAGATCCGACATCGAATCGACCAAAGAAGGCAATGCAGAGGAAGAGTCGCTGACCAGTGTTATCCCGAGATGGATAGATTGGCAGAACTCAAAGTGATGGGGGGAGAGGTGAAAGGTCTTCGCGGTGGAGGAGGTTTTTATTAGGGAGAAGGAGAAGCGAAGTCGACCCTTCAAGTTTCAATCCATCTTATGGTCATGGGTGTGGTGGTGGTGGGGATAATCGATTTTGGACCTTGATAGAATATGATCATGATGGATAGGGAAGTGGTGTGTGAGTTTATTGTATGAAGTAGTGATTTTACAGTAGCAATAGTGATTCTTTGCATTAGTACTCTTATAGATATAAATGTTTGATATTATAATGTAATAGTTATTTTGTCGTAGTGATTTTGTAGTAGTGATTTCCTAGTAGTTATTACAAAGCTGTAGTGATGTCATAGTTTTAGTAATGATGTCTTATAGAGATTCTAAACTTATATTAGTGATTATTGGTTTTATATCAAATGTGTATCACTAATAATAGCAATGAAATCATTACTACAACTCAACAAGACAACAAATAACTACCAAGAACAATAAACTAATACTAAAAGTCATCCAAATAACTATATATCTCCACAGAATCATTGCTAGAGAATAGGGTGCGGATAGTATAACAACAAGGGTATAACAGTAAAATGACGATAAAAATTCAATTAAAATATATTCATAATACCTACCGATTCGTGTATCTCCTTCAACCTCCGATTCTGGCTTCCCGACAACTCTGCCGTTCTTTCCCCTGCCCAAAGCTTCGCGACAATGCCGTCGTCAGCTGCTTAGGACTTCGTTCCTCCTCCACCGTCACTGTCTTCACACTAAAAAAAAACCTCGATCCTCCTCGATCGTCAATTTCTGACTCTCCTCTATAAATCAACAATACTCTTCAACAACTCTCTCTAATATCCCGGTTAGATCTATCTTTCTCACCGTCATCGCTCCGCTTCTTCCTCCCTGCCGCCTGCTTCTTCACCATCGCCCTAATTCTAGCTATTATCACCGCTTTAACCTGGTGGAACAGAGGAGATCGAGACCGTTTTTTATCTTCAATTCCGAAATAAGAAGGAGATCTGAGCGACGGCGGAGGATGAATCACTGATTCCCCTATTCTTCTTCTTCTTCTTCTTCTTCTTCTTCTTCTTGTTCCAAAATGAGATATGGGCGGCAGCGGAGTTTCTTCTTCTTCTCCCCTCCATCTGGCTGCCGTCGTTCGCTTGTAATTGTCGGTCTTCCGATTTCATTGCACCATGCGGCTGCTCCCTCACTCGTCGGGATCCGAACAAATCCTGGTTGTCATCGAAGAGAAGCCGGCGAGAAGGTAAATCAGGATCCAAACAAATCCTAATGCGTTATCGCTGGTTGTCGACAAAGAGAAGCTGCCCTAAATTAATTCCCTCGACGAGTGAAGAATGATTGGAGAGAGAGAACGGATTCGAGAACGTATTGAGGAGGGAATTTAGGGGAGATGAAGTTGAGGAGGATGGGAAGGTTGTTGACGTGGCTTCTGGAAGAGAGCAACTGTTGGCCAAGGGCTTTGAGCTCCTTCAGAGAATGCTTGGACTTGGAATTCCTAGACTTGTGGTTCTTGCTCGCCGGTGACGCCATCTTCGAGGCGGCGGTGGGGGCGAAGAATGAATTTGCCGGAGACGAAACTTGGCAACACCGTAGGCAGTAGCAAAAACAAGCCATGGGATTTTTTAATAGTTTTTTTATGTGCTTTTGTTTTCAGGTTTTCCTTCGACTAACATCGTATTGAAGTAAGCAAGCTTGTGAAAGGGAGGCCTCTGGATAATCTCGGAATAGTGGCTAAAGCATATCAGAAACACTACAAAGCAAACCACACATAGTTCTAAAGCACACTAGAAACCTCCTAATGCAAATTATAAATGCGATAAAACATACCAGAAATCTAAAAAAAGCAAACCATATAATTTTCAAAAGCACACAAAAAACTACATAATGCAAACCACAAACACGACAAAGCAAATCACATAAAACAAACCAGATTCTTCCTAATGCAGAACACAAATCTATTCAAACAAACCAGAAGCCTCACAAACCAAACCACAAAATTTTCAAAAGCACACCAGAAACCTTCTAATGCAAACCACAAAAGCAAACCACAAACCTTCTAATGCAACTCACAAATCTATTAAAACAAACCAGAAACCTCACAAAGCAAACCACAAAAGTTTCAAAAGCACACCAGAAACCTTCTAATGCAAACTAAAAATACAATAAACAAAACCACAAAAGCAAACATGAAACCTTGTAATGCAAACCACAAATATATTAAAACAAACCAGAAACCTCACAATGCAAACCACAATTTTTTTGAAAGCAAACCATAAACTTCTTAATGCAAACCACAAACACGATAAAGCAAACCACAAAGGCATACAAAAATATGAGAAACCAAACCATAAATCTCACAATGCATACCAAAACATCTGGTGGTCGTTCAACGAAGTTCGTTGACCAAACCTCGATGACCGTCATTGAGTAGATTCTGGTGTCGATAGGCATATTCCGGCCCCGATGAGTAGATTATGACGCCGGTAAGCATATTCCGACCACAGTGAGTATATTCTGGTGACGATGAGCATATTCCGACGACAAAATAGAATATTCCAACGACAAAAAAAAAAACATATTCCGGCAACCAAAATTTTGGGCAGAAAATAAAAAAATATATTTTATATTTTATATTATTATTTAAACATATTTTTCATAATGAAAATTATACCATTGCTTTGATTTTACACTAGGTCAACTCATCTAATAAAAAGTCATCACAACCCTAGCTTCCTTTTGGTTGGAGACTAATGTTGGTACAATAACAACACAAGGGGTGTTGTCACACTATCTAGTCCCTAGAGAATAAATATCACAAAACATTATTAAATTTGATGAGAGGGGATAGAAAGTCAGAGAGGAAAAGGAGAGGGACGTGAGGAAGAGTGGACAGTGGGAGAAAGGGAGACATGAAGGACGGGTAGAAAGAGAAATTAATTATGAATTTTTATATTCTGATTGATTTGAGTTGAAATTCCTAAACTGTCCATAATTAAAATATACCAATGGATGTGGAATTAAAAGGTCAAGGGTGATTAATGGGTTAGTAAGCTGCTAACTATTAGAAAGTTAGCATGTCATTCCGTTTCCATGTATAATGTTCCATTCTTAGTATATGAAATGAAATGCTCTCTCTCAGAAGTGGTGCTTTCGATAGAATTTTCTATTCATACATATTTTTGTGTATGAGACGATTTATATGAGATCGATTGGGGCTACTCTTATTTGTGTTAGTAAACGGTATATGGTCGACGATTGAGCCTCTACCAAGTTCCAACACCTCGAGTTATTTGGACCACTAGTTTATAACATGGTATCAGAGCCTATGACATCTGAATAGATTACGATTCGTTTGAACTCCAAGAACTATGTGGTTTGGGAGTTCCGGTTTCATACTTTGGTTGAAGGAAAGGGTTTGCTCGGATTAATTTACGGCACGACCGCTTGTCTCTCTTCTCCACCCTCGACGGCGCTGGAGATTCAACAATGGGCATTGACTGATGCCAAGGTTCGGACACTTCTCCTTAATTATGTTTATTCTACGATAATTTTGGGGATACGTATGCTTCCCACGGCATCTGCTATGTGGAAGTACTTGACCGACACATATCGGACGGTCACTGCCTCGCGACAATATGAAATCGAGGTAGAGCTCTCGGCTCTCCATCAGGGCAGCATGCGTCACGTCCTGCTACAGCGCTGCGTGGGATCTTGGACTGAACAGGACCTCGTGATGGCTTTCCTACTCACCTCTACT